CTGTTGTTCCGTAACTGTTCGTTATTCATACAACCGTATTTTTAACCATCGTAAATAATAACATTGATCACACGTTTGTTACACGCACATACACAACAGCAAACTAATAAAATTTCTAAATTCAACTACTGCTATGCCGAGATTACAAAGAAAATGGTAATGTTCATAGAGAGAGACAGATAAAGAAAAACTAACGGGGGAACTGGTAGTTAAGGTAGGTATATTATACTAAATGCAAAAAGTTACAATACATTTGACTTTTGTTTGTTTTGTCATTTTCCTTTAACATTAGTTTTTGTTTGTTTTGTTTGTTGTTGTAACACGTTGTCCACGGTTGTTTACCACACAAACAACTGGCCCGGTAGGCCAAAATAAAAATGTATGCTACAAAAATTCACAACTTATTAATCGTCATCCTCTAATTATTATATTGTTATAATTATTTGTGTTTCATCATATTCCTTTCCTTCGTTCACTTATATTCATTCCTCTTATTATTATTATTATTATTAATATTATCATCATTATTAATTAATATTACTATTTATTATTATTATTATTATCATTATTAATAGTTACTTAAAAACGTAAACATTCACACTAAAAATTTGCAACTTTCGTTCAAGTATAAAGGTACGGTCTCGCGTGATCGTGGCCTCGAAAAACATTATTCGAGAAACTTGAATACGTTGCATCTGAACACCTCATATACCTTAAAGAGATACGAGACCAGCAACGTTCATCGATCCAAGTTATATAAAATTTCGAACACTGTCGCCTGTCGCACGACCGAGAGGTACTGCAAATAAATAACTGTCTATTTCGCTACGAAAATTTGTTACATTACAGTTCACAATGGTTAAAGAGAGTCGCTTGTCTGTTCGTAGTTTCTCGAGCAGGTAGGCTTCGTTTCAAGTATGGAAACAACTTATAGCAACGCAGACACGCGAAACTGCATCTTTATCTACGACTGAGATCAAGCAGCTTCATCGCTACGGATGCAAAAGCAATGTTTTAAAAAAGAAAACATTAATCTTTGTTACACGCGAGAAAACTTTCGCAAGGGCGAGACCCTTGTCGCTAATTTAAATTACATTCAAGTTAGGAATCGGGGGGGATAAAGAGTACAACGAAGAGCTGGCGTTCGACCAGCGATGACTCTGCCACATCCCAGACATAGCGATTGCAACGCATTCGATTTTACAAACTATTACGGAAGTTCGAATGTAGACTACCTAACAATTTTCGCCTCAATGGATTCTCGATAAAAAAGAAAACGAAACGTAAATAATTACTCTTCATACGTTCTCAGCCTTAAATGTCGTAGCATCTTGCGGTCTAGTCGTATCGTGTACTTTGTCCATTATATTCGCCTTTCTCGCTTTAATCGATTTATTTACCATCAACATATATTACTTGTCGTCGCCTCTGTTTTGTTGGTCGCCGTGAAAAAAAATAGCGCGAACATTCGTGTACACTTTGGGCCAGAGCGAGATGATCGTATACGAGATGGCACATAAATTGTCATATGCGCAACGAACGTTTTTTTTTTCTTTCTTTTTCACCGTGATGTTAAAAACAATTTACACTTTCGTGACTCTCTTTCCTCTTTTCTTTTCTTCTCTTTCTTTTCCTTTTCCTTTTTTACACTGTTTCGACTTGACCTTTCACGCGAGAAATTTTTCTTTGTAACTCTACAAATATACAAACGAAATCGTAATCCTACCCAATATGGACTAATTAGATCGCAGAAATATGGCGTGCTGTCTCTCTAACAATCGCAGACTCACTTTGTCAGTCGTAAATAGAAATTTCAAAGGTTCTTTTTGGTTTTCTATAATTGTATTACTGTTCTCTATAATTGTTTGTTTGTTTTTTTTTCTTTTTTTAGTACATCCAGGCCGGAAATGAAAGTCTAAAAATTCGTTCTACACCCTATAAATTAGGTCCTGTTGCGTACGAGGATCTTATTTAACACGTTCGTTTCCGCATATATGTAATACACGTTACATACGTGCGACACGCTGATTTTTTTTTTTTTTTTAGGAGGGCCGAACGTCGCACATGCGTCCGTTTAAAAACAAAAGCTTGGGCTGTTGTGGCCAGTTTTTTTTTCTAACCGTACGGTGATTGCGGACGTGTTAATTATTAACAGATTGGCTCCACATGGGTCACGCTGTCTACGACGCTTTGTTATGATAGAATGACCACCGGTAGATAACGCACGCTGTTCTTATATTTCATTCACTGTAGCAGGATTGACTATCGGTGGATCATACTGTCAACAGCTATTTTATCGATTATAATAAGACGATTTAAATTGCTTATCGTGTAATTGCATTAATTGTGCCAGAATGACCATCGATGGTCCATATTACCTGCAAAACTTTCTATAACAATAGAATAATCACAGACGGAATAATACATTGTCTCCTCTAATATTCTATTAATTGTGGCAGAGTGGTTACCGGTGAATCATGCTCTCTATAAAGATTTTATTACGACAGAATACCCCACTGGAGTTTCTAATCTCTCTCTCTGGATACGTTAATAGGACAACGGTACTATAAATTATGGCAATATGTACTCTTATCGGTATAAGGGAATTAGTTTTCCTCAATTCCGTTGGACAATGTATAAGAAGTGCATGTACTGAATTTAGCATTTTTTTTCTTTTTACTTTGTAATTCTATAAAAAAAATTCAGAGGTGCTTCTCTAATTAGCGTATGAAAACTAATAACGTGTTTAGAAACAAATATTTCTATTTCAATCTACTTTTAGTACACTCGTATATACAGGGCGTTTCAGAAATATAGATAAAGGCTTAATAAATATTATTACAAAAAGAACGAATGCGAAGGAGTACCTACAAAATTAGCTTTTTATCTTGAGATTTTGATACATTCTTGCATATTGTAAAATGACGGATAAATTAATTACTTAGCATATCCACTTATCCTTCAAAACTATTATTATAGATGATTTTTTTTTACGGCAGTAAAGAATTGTTCTAAAATATAAATTATTTTACAATATGTGTACAATGAACGGGTTATACAGAGCTCGATCTCTTTCTTTTTTCCTGCAGACTTATCGTTTGCATGAAACTCCGCAAATCAGTCGAACTAATGTTTGCTATTCTGAAATACCCTGTACAAGCTAAAAAAATCATTCATATTTTCATATACAACATTTACCACTCTCGACTGATTTTGTTCGCTCTTCCAAGAATTTCTATTTACGTATGTATAATAATTACAAGAATAACGCCAGTTATATATTAGTATGGGAAGAAAGTTATAGTATTTTAATAAAGTTTATTAAGTAGGTATAGCCCAAGCTAAAATTTTTTTTTTTTTAGTAACTAGGCCTCTTTCCCTCTTTCTATCAACAGTCACGAGTTCTGCGATCACCAGAGTCCGTTAAACACATGTAAATTCATAATACATGTACACAATTAAACGATTGGAATTTTTTAAGTCAAATCATTTATCCTCGGTTCGAAACCTGATAAATTAAAAGAAAAAAAGAAAAAAAAAGAAAAAAAAGAAAAAGAAACGTGGCAAATTCGAATCAGATAAATATGAACGTAAGAATAAAAAGCAAGAGTATACGTTAAAGTAGATGCACGAGAAACAGGAAATTGAACAAAAATCTGAAACGGAGCATAAGTGGTTAGTGATTCGGGAAACGGCGAGACCAGCTGCAGTCTAAGGTTAATTGTCCCACTATCAATCGATACCGGTCGATTGATAATCGGCCAATGATTCACGAGAAAAGTCGACACTGTGCCTTCCTTTATGCGAACACAGAACAGTCGTAGTTCTCTCTACTTCGTTTTAACCAACACCGAGCAACTCTACCACCTATATAAACATTATTGCCGACCTCTCTACGAGAACTCGTAGATGGAACGTTTCACATCGGCAGTCAATGAATTAACACGAGAGCATATGAAGTGTGCGACACGATATTTCTCACAATTCAGACGGTTCGTATCCTCTCGTAATTAATTTCGTTTAGTTTGGCTCGTGACTTATTTTATTACGAAAGCGGAATTCGCACCGCTTGTGTCTCCTAACCTGCGAATGGAGAAAATTTAAGGAGCGACGTGTATGACGAATTCCATCACAAAACGAAAGTTACTAGTTGTGTGTAATCTGTGTACGTCTCCTCCAGCACTGTCCCTAATTTTTTCTCTTAGTCCTATCGTCACAGTTCCCTTCCGCACTTCGCACCAGAACTTCGCAACAATTGCTTTGCTTCTCGGGTGTGTTGAGACTTGGAAGAAACCTGGGAGACGAGACACGCCCACGTTCCTAATTCTGGATGATCATCACGCGTCACTCGTTGTTATACGCATTAGATGTAGATGTACTTTTCTATCGTAAAGTCCTGTGGTTTGACGTCGATGTATGAAGGACGAACTCGTAGCGTTTCTCATCAAATACTCGTCGAACTAGGTTGAACGTTGATTTATCCCCTTATCCACGAACTTATAGTTAAATGCAATAGACCCGATTGATCCCACTCGAGTTCGTGGTCCATACAGTTTGAGCTGCGTCATCTATAGTTCGGTTGCTTGACGAACGATGCAAGCGATGGTTTTTTTAAGCGTAAAAGGATAGCGCCTTTAATCACATCGTGTGGCATACGCGATAGTCTTGGATTTTTGTGTTTTGGAAATGAGGATGGTAGTTATATATCGGTGACTTGTTCAAGAAGAAATAATTTCGGGAGTGCCATTAATGTTGCTGCATATATTAGCGACGGTTCTGGTAACTTGGATTGCTTGGGTTACCGGGTTGCCTCATTCCACCGCCGCCCCCCCTTCCACCATCGCCACCCCGCGAAAATCCTCCTCGGCCACCTCTGGCTCCATGTTGACCACCTCTCATAACACCGGGACCGCCTGAAAAATACATATAAATCAATATTTCTTTAATCTACGTGCGAACACTATGTCCAGCATTTCCGGCTTAACACGTTCACCGTCATGTTTTAATTATTTAATTTTCTTGCAATCTGTGAAATGCAAGAGAATCGAAGGGATAATTAATATCATAAATCTTCACTTCTTAGTAAGTGTTTCATTAAATAAATTGCATTAGTGTGACACTAACGCGAATGCTAAGAATATTTTATGTTTCATTGTAATGTTACTCGAAGTAATATCTAGCAGGACATACCAGGACCTCTCTGTTGTTGTTGCTGTTGCTGTCCACCCATTGCCCTCATATTTCCATCATTCGAATTTAACCGGCCACCGCTTCCATCTATCGTTCCCCTAGGCCTGACTTTCTTCTCTTCCACATTTAATTTCTGTCCATTCTCCGCAGGATAATAAATTGGCTGAAGTCGAAATAAATAAATAAATATAAACTTGTCAGTTAAAGAGAAACTGTAATAATTGTGTTCCTCAAAATATTTGTTAACTTACCAGATTCTGTAACACCATGCTAACAACTTGTTTGTCTTCAAAGGTGATGAATCCGTAGTTAGGCACTTTACCAGTATTATTTCCTTGTGGTCCTTTGCATCTGTCATTCGGTTTACTGTGTATACGTAATTCCACTACCCTACCATACGATTCAAAAATTTGCCTCAGATCATCCTCCGATGCGTTGTGCGGCAAATTTCCAAGAAATAGTTGATGCGCGTCACTGTATTGACTCTGCCTTGTACCACGGCGGTCACCGTCTAAAATAATATTTATATATAACTTACACAATACTCTTCACACGTGTCAATCATTAATTCAATCTTTTTGTTTTCAAAAAGTATAATAGTTAAATACTGAATTATTATAAACACTATAAAATACCGGATACTAATCCCTAATGCATCTGAAACTTGAAGCAATTACTTTAAAAACTATCAATCAATCTTAAGAATAAGAGTGGACAATACGATGATAACATCTTTACCTCGTTGTACACCTCCTCCTCTTGGTGCCCGTTGCTGTTGATGCTGTTGTGGTTGTTGATTTCCAACTCTGTGGGTTTGTTGTTGAGGTGTGGAAATAGTAGTCGACGAACCAAGTACTGGACCGCTGTTAGAAGGATGCAATGGCGATCTATCATCCAAACGCAAGTTCGTCATCGGAGGCTGTGAGTATTAATTTAAATTTATTTTTCTATCTAAATTACTTCATCTAAATCTCGAAATGATTGTAATTAAACTATCGAAAATCAAATAAATACCGGCGACATGGACAACTTAGGAGCCTGAGGACTAATAGCACCGGTGGTACTTGGGGAAGACTTGACGAGATTGGCGTATGTTTTTGGTCCACTACTGGTCACATTTGTTGTATTCGTCACTTGATGTTCTGGTTCAGACTCTTGAGCAGTGGCATTAAACGTTTCAGTTTCAGGCTGCTCACGACTTTCATTAGTCTGAGTCTGTGGCTCGCTCTCGGATGGTTGTTGTTCAGCTGAGCTGTCTAATTCTGTTTCTTGTACAAATTGTGCCTGTGATGAAGATTCGTTAATATATTGGTGCTGCTGTGCAGGTGGTGGCGGCGGTGGCTGTTGCTGTTGCTGCTGTGGCGGTGGCTGGCTAATTAACGAGGTTTCTTCGTGAACTGAACCATTTAGAACTTGTTGCATTACCGGTAGTACCTAAAACAATGATTTCAATTAAACCAACGTTTCACTTGGTTATTTCAATCAAGGCATCGAACTAACATGGGATTGTTGTGGTGGTGGTGCATAATACATTTGCTGTTGTTGCTGGAGTACAGGTTGTGCGGGAATAAGCGGTGGCTGGACTTGCGGTTCGGTAGACGTAGCTGGTGCTGAAAGTTGCTGCCCTTGATTTTGATGTTCATCTTCCTCGGGCTCAGAACGCCCTCCCTCCTCCCCTTCTCTTTCACCGGACTCACCTACACCCCCTTCTACACCACCTACATCAGCTTCTTCTTCATCGGGAAAGATCAAATCTTGATAACGAAATATATCGTTATGTACGTAGTATGTTTTCGGGGCCTGAATTGCTAATACGAAGGTTTGGGTAAAGCGACGCATTGGTTGTCCAGCATTAGAGAGTTCGCCAGATACCTATAAATAATTAAATATAATAAATAATCCATTTTGAACGTTACATTATTTACAGTATAAACAGTACTGAAAATATTTATTACATTGCCTTTACATTTACTTAGTGTGCAGGATTGTCATAATAGTATGTATAAATAATTATGTCATTAACATGTGCATACTGTAATAAATGTTACAGGTACTACGTTGCTTTACATATGCAATTAATTAAAAGTTATGTAACGGAGGTATACAAAACTTGTTTGTATGAAAATTGTATAATAACAAGCATAATATATTAGTATAATATAATAACATAGAATCAGTATGCCAGATCCTTATTAAACAAGATGATGTTCATAATTTAACAGCAGATGAAAAGTCTATGTAAATATAATTTAAAAAAAATGAAATAAAACTATTAAAATATATAAATAAATTCTGCGATATAGTCAATAA